TTCGCAAAAATATAACATAAATATTACTAAAACTCACTGATTAATTTCCTATCTAAAAAATATAAGTAAAAAATGGAAAGCTATGTAAAATAATAAAAATATAATCCATTTTTCTCCTAAAATCCCCTTAAATCGTCCTAAATATTCATTATAGTAATATTGCCATTTTCAAAAAAAAAAGTAAAAAAAAATCAGAAAAATTGACTAAAATTCAATTTAAATTTCATCTGATTTTGATAGTTGGAGACATATTTCTATTATAAAAATTAAAAAAATCAGAAAAATTCAACTTAAGTTTCATCCGATTTTGATGATTGGAGGTATTTCTATTATAAAAAGTAAAAAAAATTGAAAAATTGACTAAAATTCAACTTAATTTTCATCTGATTTGATAGTTGAAGGCATATTTCTATTATAAAAAGTAAAAAAATCACAAAAATTCAACTTAAGTTTCGTTCGATTTTGATGGTTAGAGGCATGTTTCTATTATAAAAAATAAAAAAAATCAGAAAAATTAACTAAAATTCAACTTAATTTTCGTCTAATTTGATAGTTAAAGGCATATTTCTATTATAAAAAGTAAAAAAAAATCAGAAAAATTGACTAAAATTCAACTTAAGTTTCATTCGATTTTGATAGTTGAAGTCATATTTCTATTATAAAAAGTAAAAAAATCAGAAAAATTCAACTTAAGTTTTGTTCAATTTTGATGGTTAGAGGTATGTTTCTATTAAAAAAGTAAAAAAATCAGAAAAATTGACTAAAATTCAACTTAAGGTCTTTTTGTTCTTAGGACGATTTTTTTTTGGGATTTTAGTGGAATGTAAAAAGAGAAAATTTGGAAATAATTGAAATTATTTTTTAAAAAGTTAAAAAATTAAGCTTATTTATATAAATATTCCTATATATTAGAAAAAAACTCAAATAATACATTAAATCAATATTATTTTAACAAATCAGTTTAATCCGAAAGTTCAGTTTGTTAGAACAATAATATCTTAGGAACGATAAAACCATCGTTCCTTAGGTACAATAATACCATCATTCCTTAGGTATGATAAAATCGTCGTACCTAAGAAATGATAAAACCATCATTCCTTAGGTACGATAATACCATCGTCCCTAAGGAACGATAAAACCATTATCTCTAAGGAATGATAAAACCATTGTCTCTAAGGAACGATAAAACAATCGTCTCTAAGGAACGATAATATCATCATCCCTAAAGAATGATAAAATCATCGTACCTAAGGAACGATAATATCATCATCTCTAAAGAATGATAAAATCATCGTACCTAAGGAACGATAATACCATCATTCCTTAGGTGCGATAATACCATCGTCTCTAAGGAACAATAATATCATCGTATCTTAGAAACGATAAAATAATCATCTTTAAGGAACGTTAAAATTGTTATACCTAAGGAATGATAATATTATACCATCGTTTCTTAGGTACGATAATACCATTATCGATAAAACAATCATCCCTAAGGAATAATAAAACAATCGTCCCTAAGGAACAATAAATCGTCGTCCTTAAGGAATGATAACCATCGTCTCTAAGGAACGATAAAACTATCGTTTCTTAGGTATGATAATACCATCGTCCCTAAAGAACGATAATACCATTATTCCTTAGGAACGATAAAATCATCATACCTAAGGAACGATAATATCTATCGTATTTAAGAAACAATTCAATCGTTCCAATCGGACGTCAATCGGTTATAAATAAGATAGGTCAAATTTTGATATATACCAATCGGCTATAAGTATGCCAATCAACTATAAATAAGATAGGTCAAATTTTGGCTGATTCTTGACCAATTTCTGATATATGCCAATCGGTTAGGCTAATTTTGATAATTTGCTGAATTTAGGCTGAATTTAGGCTGATTTTAAGCCGATTTTTGCATGTCTGATTTTTTTGATTTCGACCAGTATAAAGATCAGCCAAAATTATAGTTTAGTATCAGCTGAAATTAACCACGAATTTACTGCACCACCTGACACCATATTTTTTTTTACCACATTTTGATATCTAGAAAGGTAATCAAATAAGCACAAAGGGTAAGCACTTCAATATAAAATCCAGCACTCAACTAGTTGCAGGAGATCAGTATCCTTAATATAAAATCAGATATCTAAACAACTACAGAGGACCAATAACTCTATTAAAGTATTTAGCATGTAAATGACTTAGAAACAAGAAGAAAAACGTGATATTTAGATTATATAGTAGTAGTTAGGTTAAATGGTAGATGGTAGTTAGATTATATAGTGATAAAAAAATACAGATAGCAAGAAAAATTTAAAAGGATAGCTAGAGTATAAAAAAGATACCTGATATACAAAAATAAATAGATTATATGGTAATAATTAGATTATATTATTTAGATTATATGGTGATAATTAGATTATTATTTATATCATATTATGATACTCAGATTATATAGTGGTATTTAGATCATATAGTGATATTCAGATTATATGGTGATATTTAGATCATATAGTGGTATCTAGATTATATGATAGTATTATAATCTAAAACAAGTGAGATACCATTATGTAATATAATTATATTATATGGTAGTATCCCACTACATAATTTATAATATAAATATTTTTTAATTATATAATTTCATATGCTAAATTTTAAATTACATGATCATTCAGTTTATTAAATATATGACAATATATATGTTTGGTCAAGATTAGTTCAGATGTAGCATATAATATTTTATTATATAAATTCATTATATCTAGCCTAATTAATTATAAAATAATCAGTTCTATAATATATAATTCAAAATAATAAATTTTTAATATAAATAGGTTCGTTATATTTAGAGCTAATTATATTTAAATATATTATTACTAATTCTTAATTATTTAATATTTAAAAAGTAATAAATTTATTTTTAAACTTGATCTAACATTTATTATTTCTTGTGATAAAAAACTATTAAAAATTTAATTACAAAAACATATAAAATTAATATTAAAAATTTATTATTTTTAATTATTAATTCTTGTAAATTTATTTCTATTACAACTGATTTATAATTATGATATTTTAATTAGTTTTTGAAAAAATTTTATATTTACATATAGCTAATTTTATTATCACTTATTTAAAAAATATTGAAAATTATAATATTAAAAAAATATAATTTGTATAATTACTAATAATAAAGAAATATGAAAGCAACTATTAATATTTTAAATAAAAATAATCACAATATTCAAAGATTACTATATATTATATATATATTACAATTAACAGTAAATAATACCTTAAATAAAATTAGTGAACAAATCAAAATAATATAGAAAATTGTTTATATTTTTTTTATTATCTAAATAATCAAAAAGACTTAAAGAAGTATAAAGAGAACTTAATAAAAAAAAAGTAATGAAAAAAATGAAAATTCTAATAATGAAAAATCAATTGAAATAAATATAACAATTATATTTAAAAATATAAATAAAATACAAATTTATTGAAATTCTAATATAATTTATAAAAATGATTATTTAAATTAAAAAAATCAATAATTTATTTAAATGAAAACTTATATTTTAAAGAAAATTAAAATAATAAATTTGATTAGACAATATAAAATTATTAAATAAATAAATTATTTTTTTTAAAAAAATTAAACTTCTAAATTTTTTCATTAAATAAATATCATTAATTTATATAATACATATAAAATTTTTTAAATAAATAAAAAATTATAGTTATTTAATGTTTTTTTTTGTTTGGTTAAACACTGTTTGATATGTAAAACTCAAACTATTCTATGAATGAATTAATCCAATTTGCAAATGTACTTACTGTATCCTAATATAAAAATTCTTATAAAAGCTTTTATTCTATTAACTTACTTATTACGTAAAGCAACTATTTAATAATATATAAATATGACTTTTATTCATAAATGCTGTTGTGTAAATTTATTTTTTGCTATAAGATTTGTCAATTTATATAAAATATCAAAAAATCCTTGTAATTCTAGATTTTGTGTCTCAATAATTTTAATAAACTCTTTTGAATTTGTAAATAATTTTTGTTTTTCTTGATGTTGTAATATATATAATACAAATATAAGATGTCTAATCTTATCATTAAATAACTTAGCAAAGGATGGATTTTCTTATAATATTAAAATAATTAACAAATAAATAAAACAAATAAATATTTTAAAAGATTTCATAATCTTTCAAAAACATTGTAACACGTTTTTTATAAGTAAGATGATAATTAAAATCATCTTCATTAGATTGTTTTGACTTCTGCTTTTCATACTTTTCATTTCAATCCCATTCCACTATTTTCATATAGCAATTGTGACCAAGAATGTCACATAGTTTCAAGTTAGAGGTGTTGGAATTACTAGCATAACCTTTGTTAATTCTAATTCTGTAATTGAACGATACTTCATATCAACTACAGTCTTACATGTAATACATATACCCTGAAGCTTTTTGTTCTCATTTATTTTTGTAGTTAACGAGATCTATGGGAACTGACATTTGAATCTGACACGTAAGAAGTTAAAGATTTATGAAAAATAATTTTATTTTTTGTTAATAAGTAATGCGACTACGGCCTATACAATATATGACGTAATAGATTTTAATAGTGTATATATATAAGATCTACAGTGTAACATTGACGATTTATATCTGCTATAAAAAATTTTTTTAAATATTTAGTATTATCGCTATCATTATGGTTGGAATAATATCAAGATATTGATATATTTTAATATATAGCATATACTTGGCTTACAAAAGAAAGAAACGTAATCTCTAATTTTCACTTTAAAAAATTCGACAACAAATGATCTTATATTTAATCCGATGCTCGTTTTTATTATTATTCCGAAAAACACAACGTTTGATATGTGACGGATTTTTGATTTCCGGAAAAAAACCAATATAATCAATTTATTTCCTCTTTTAAATTTTTCTCTTGCTTGCTTGTTTTTAAGATGAAATTCCATTAGCAAATACCTTTTTAAATGGTATAAAATTACCTTCGTTATTCTTCCATTGTCTAGCACCTTCATCATCGAAGATAGCAAAAGAAATATTTTTATAAGTTTTAGGTAAATTTTCTTTTTCACCAAAGTATTCTTTACTAATAATTTCATAAAATAATCGCGCCATTGTTGAAGGTGGATTTGAGAATGCCCCACATCCAAATGCACTTAAAACAATCGTATCATGACCTATATAAAAGTTAGTTAATAAAAAAAATCAAATTTAGACTTTAATTACACGGCCACATATGATAATTATACTTTGACCGTGAAGTAATTTGCAGCAGCAAAAGTTTAATTATCTGAACCGGATAATTATAACGTAACTTCACGGGTAATCGCTGATAACTCCACAGTTACTATCAATGATTCCATTCAAAAAAAAAGTTTACCATTATCTAATCCGATGTTTAACATTGTGCGAATTTTTCTTCGGGTCGTTTCTTTGTCATGTTCATTTAAGGTGTATTCACCATTCTCACCTAACACAAGCTGAGGTTGACATATGGCGGCAACAGTCTACGTAAATTAAACAGGAAAATATATCAATTTTTCCGTTTTCAAATGTTAACAAGCTTTTCTTCTCAAGGAAGATATTTTTACCACGAATGACAATTTTTCGGGGTTTTCCAAGAATTCATAATTTTCTTGTTCACTGGCTCTAATAACAGTAGAATTAGGACAATAAATACCACCATATGAGGGAATAGGATAGCATTCATTTTTTTTTTGTTCAAGATATTGAAATAAATTTGTTCGACGGAACAAATTTTCTTCCTGGCCGCCTGCACCATCGAGATAAGCACCACCGGGAATTACAGCATTTGCCATATTTAATACAATAGGGTTGTATCCTTCACTTTTTAATTTTAGTGCATGGTTTATACAATCGCCATCTACTACTTGAATGATTGGGTGCGGTTGTTTTTCAGCGAGATAATGGCGAGAGATCGAAGTACCATCTTGATAGAATTTTGATTTGGAGACTTCCGACGAAAGCGAGTTATCATCTAATCGAATTTGTTTGTTTGTACCTTTATGTGTATATTCCAGTACACTTTGAAATATTTCAATAGTACTATACTGAACTTCCATGCGAATTGATGCCATTTTTTTTAAAAAGTTCAGCTACTTAATAATTTGAGAAAGCAATTTTTAAGTGTGCGTGAGAAGATTCTATGATTTTTATCTGAGTAGAAATAACCTTTTTTTAACACGTGAAATGTGAATATTATTGACAAATCACATTGCGTTTACGAATCATGTTCTATTTAAATCAAACTTTTTGAGACTAACTTTTTTTTACTAACTTACTTTCATTATTTTGTCCGTTATTCGAACGGTAGTTTTTCTTTCGAAGAGAAATTAGACGAGTATGAAACTTATGGAATAATAAAGAACCTTTTTGTGAAAGAATACTTAGGTAATAAGCTATTTCTTTCTCTTATTTGTTTTATTTTTTGGGTATTATGGAGCAGCATGATGTTACGCGGAGTGGGGGCGTGGCATGCTTATCTTTAGGTAAGCCCGTGGGTACCCAGTCTATCTGGCAGTCTCCGGTAGAGCTGGTTGGGATATTTTGGGGCGGCATGGTACTATGCGAGGGAAGGGGCATAGGCGCTTTTCCAAGCCTGTGGGTACCAGCTTCGGCTGCAGTCTCCAGTAGGGCCGCCGGAATACTTTATTATTTACCAATAGAGGATATTCTATTTGTATTCAATAAATTTATTAACTTGTATCTTTTTGATTATTATAATGTTTCGCGAGCCTAGATCATCGTAAATAAAATAAATAAAAACGAACTGAGAATGATCTCGCAAAATGATCCCTCGAAAGTTATTTTGATTTTTCTTTACCCCGTTCAAATTTATGATAGGCTCTTATCTTTCGAATACAGAATCCAGGTTTTATATTTGTGATATATTTTTCTATAGTATATTAAAAAAAAAAAACAAGTAGGGTGAGAAATAATGACTATTTAACTTTCTTGTAATTGACCTTTTCATCTCTACCCATGATTTCTTGTCTTACAAAATACTTTCCTTGAAAGCAATTCCGCATTCATTACTTTTGTAAAAGTTATGCCAGCAAAATATTTATTTCTTTATAATGCCTCTTTAGATTTCTTCTGAAGTCATTTGCATTATTCTTTTTTTCCTAATCCCATTCATTATTATCATCATCATTCTTTTAATTGACTTAAACTTTATAATTGCTGATATAGGATAAAATAAAATTCTAATAAAATAAGAAATGATAGTTACTTTTTACTTTAATATCTATAATGTTTAAATTATAATTAGGATTCAATTTCAAATTTGTGAATTTATATCACAATATCATTTTTAGCATTACATTTGGATTTAATAATTATTTAATTGTTTTTTTACCATTAATTATACAATTATTAATTAAAAAACCAATTTTTATAACAATTATTATTAAACAAATTATAATTATCTGTATAAATTTAATGTGTTTTTTTAGATTTTTATCATTAATAATAAAAATTAATAAATTAAAGATTAGATTATATAAAAGAATACTATTTTTATTATTATATTTTATTTACTGTTAAAAATTTTCTTTTAAAAATATATATATTAAATTTTTATAATAAATTAATTCTTTTTAATATAATATTAAATAAATTTATACCTTTTATAAGTAAAAAAATTTTTTATTAAATGTAATTTAATAGATTTTTTTATTATTTAATTAAGATAATTTAAAATAATAAATATTACAATAATGAAAGATTTCTTTTTAATTTCTACTCATTTTAATAATAAAAATTGTTATCATAAATTATTTAAAAATATTAAGATTATAAAAAATAATTAGATTTATAATATTTAAAAATATATATTTTATATTAAATTATCATTAGAGTTTTAAATAAAATCAGATTAATCTATTATTTAACCTAAAAAAATTTAAGTTGAATTGATAAATTTCAGATTAATATCAGATCAGATTAATCTATTATCTGATTTAATCTAATTTAACTTAACTAATTATTCAAGAAGAATAATAATAAATTGTTCAATTAGAATAATAATATATTATTTAATTTAAATAATAATAAATCATTTAAAAAAATAATTTAAATTAAATCAGATCAATTAGATCAGTTCAAATAAAAATTTAAATTAAAGAAATACCAATAGTTAGTATAATTAATTTGTATTTCTAATAAATTATATAATAATTACAATATATTTTTATTAAAATATAAAATATACATATATTTAATAAATAATTTATAAATATTAACATTTGAAATAGGTTAATTAATTAAATCAATCAATTATTTAACCTGAAAAGGTTAGATCAGATTAAACAAAAATTTAACTTATAAAAAATATAAAATGTAATAAATATTTTTATTATCAATTTATTTTTATATAATCAATATATCTTTTTTATAAGCATATTTATATTAGATTTAAGTTATTAATAAAAATTTTATAATATAATTTTTTGTTATCATATTAAATTTTTTAATCCTAAAAATATTTTTAAGACTTTATTTTATAGAATATAACATTATAGTCAACTCTTGTTATAACGAACTCTATGTCTTAGATCTCAACTTCACTATAAGGCTATAGTAAAGATTTTAAGAGATTTG